GCTTCTGTTTAATAGTTGTTTATGCTTTATTGATCTGATACAGATCTGATGCAATTTTTCGCTCTTTGTACTGAGTGTAGCCATCTATTCTGTGATGTAGCACCTTTATACAATCAATGACAATGTATAATGAATACACGGTCTAAATAATATCGATGGACACTCAATTGAATGCCGGTATTAAATGTATAACATAATATTGTATTATTGCGTAGAATCTCAAAGATTTTCTCAACATTCATGTCTCAAATGTTTATATACTTGAAAACAACACTGTCTCGCTTCTGCCTACGTAGCCTACTGTACCTCTGTATAATGAGTATGCCGTGAAAATAATATCGGCACTCATTTGAATGCCTAGAATCTCAAAGAAATTCTCAATATTTACGTCTGAAAGGTTTATACATTTGAAAAAACACTGTCGCTCCTTCCTAGCTCTGTATATTGAATATCATTACCGTCTACATATATCAGTACTTGATTGAAAGACCGTCATGCATATATAACATAAATTTATACTATTGCGTAGATTCTCAAAGATTTACTCAATATTTATGTCTGAAATGTTTATACATTTGAAAACAACACTGTCGCTCCATCCTAGCATCGTGATCTACGGCTTCATAGCGCATGCGCATTTGCCCTGCTATAGAAAAAATCGGGTGTTCTGGGGGAAAGATCCTTCACACAACATGAGAAGCGAATGTTCTAAAATTACAAAAATTTACAATAACGACAACGATTCCTCGAAATTTTTGTGAACTTAGCAAAAGGACAAAAGAGTATTTAAAGAAAATAAATAAAATTGCTTAAATAACCTTCAAAGCACTGCCTAAGTACAATAAATCACTGCGAACATAAATCGTATACACCCCCCGGAAAGTTTACTCTATGATTGACTGACTGATTCGTGTGAATTCGCCAGCCATCACAACAGTGTGAAGTGAAACTTCACACTAAAAAGCAATAACAACAACAACAACAACAACAACAACAACAACAACAACAACAACAACAACAACAACAACAACAACAACAACAACAACAACAACAACAACAACAACAACAACAACAACAACAACAACAACAACAAGGAACAACAACGAACAACGACAGCAATAACAACAACAGCAACAAAAACACAAACAGCAAGTAAATATCAACGACACTCTTTCCTTCCTTTAGGTGGTATTGAAGGCAAATTGAAAGGTCGTGTCAGTGATGCCTCGTTGGTTGGTTGTGGAGGTTATGCAAATAAAATGGGAGCAGCAACAATAGCTGGACTCGGAGAGTCGATAATTAAACTGGCTTTGGCAAGACAAGTTGTTTGTAATATGGAAAGTGGAATGAAAGTTCAGGTTAGGATTAACAATTATTGGATGAGGTTTTTGTGATATGCGGAATTATCAAGGTCTCGGTAAGCGTTATCAGCCGAGCCGAAGGAGAGGCTGATAATGCTTACCGAGACCTTGATAATTTTGCATATCCCAAAAACCGAATTCAATAATTGTTTCAATTATACATTTGAAGAGTGATAAACATAGTATTAACGCATGAAAAACTTTATTTATGTAAACCTATCCATATTCACACATTTTTTCTACGTTTGTTCAAAATTTTGCTTTGCTAGTTTTCCTTTGTTTGTGTTAAATAGATACCGCTTGCTAATCATCGCAGGCTTATTTGCAGATAACTCAGTCTATCTGCTAGCAGATAACTGAATTTTGTGTAGGTTGCGTGATTGCGCGATTTAACTGTAAGCTCTTAGCCAATAAAATTGCTTTTCCCAACTACAATGTATAATAATGCTATTTAATTTCCCTGCTGCGAAATAGCAAAGCAGATTGTGACTATCAAGATGGAAATGCATAAATATTCGTCGTCTCAACGATGCACGGACTGACGGCTGATTCAAATACTTCTAAGTTACCCCCGGTGACTACTGGGGAAAATTACCGTTGACTTTCATTGATACTCACGATTTAAAGAGCTCACGCATCAAATATTTTTATATTCTCGATGTCCCATCTTAGGAATCTGCAGAAAAGGCCTTGAAGAAAATGAAAACTGACATCAATGAGAATGGCGATGCAAGCGATGGAGATGCAAGCGATGGCGATGGTGGTGTAATTGCGATTGACAAAAACGGAAATCTTGGTATAGCCTTCACTACTCCGATGATGGTTTGGGCAAGTTTCCAGGATAACGTCCCAAAGTCTGGTATGAGAAAAGATGAAGTGTAGGCCTACGTTGGCCAACTATAAATAATAAATATAAATAACGGACTATATAGTGGCACCATATATATGGCACCATGTGGTCGGATGACAAGGTGTATATATTTACCTTGTGCTGCTTTAGTATCGTCCACCTTGCGTTGTGATTATACTGCAGCTTAGAACTTTTTAACTCAAGAACTGATCGTTTCCATATGCTATAACAAGTATTTTACTCCAGCTATATGCAACATTTAGGATTATCACTAGTTTTCAATTGTAAATTGTATTAATGTAACTTCTAATTTACTATCTTCATGCAGTTGGCAAACTTCGTAGTATAACATTATATTTCAACGATTCAACCCGGCATGGCCTTGGGTTGCTGTATGTAATTTGTTTAATTAACAAACTATTATATCTATCATTATCTATCTAAAATTATACTAGAAAATACATGCATGCAGAAACCCTCGCCTTGTTGACAAAACCATTGTATTTTCCGAACATGAAGTATCTAAAGTAGTTGTCATGGTAACACGATAATTTTTTAAGAATATTCTTAGTTCTTACAAATGAAAAATCGCCTAAAAATATCACTTTTAATTACAAAATTATAAAGTTTCCCAACATATATACGTTAGGTATGTTATTATACGTAACACAAGCCTCAATTTAAGGTAAAATCCAGCCACAAACGCTTCGCAAAACGTTTTAAAGTCACTAGTGTTCTTTATAAAACTAAACTGCTTAACTGCCTTTTAAAATGGCTTTATCGATAAACTTTGAGTTTGCAATAAAATGATTTCAAATTCTCGCTTGCAAATAACTTTGCTTTCTTTTTTATTTAAAAAATTCAATATCATAAAAAAGGGAATCAATATTAAAGATACACTAGAATTATATGCTGTCTTGTTTAGTTGTTTCATATACGCAAAGGCCGTTGGGTTTTAAAGCCATTATAAAATCAATATTTAAAACAATCTTACCTTCGTTAATGTCGGCTCCCTTCTTTTAGCCGATTCTTCCGCAGTTTCTTTCTGAGAGAGCTTTTGAAATTTACAAAATCTTGCAAAAAATGCGAGCAAAAATGAAATATATTTGCAAGAAATTTATCAATCATCAAATCAAGAAATGTTTGCCATTTCGCTGTCGTCATCCAGTCGTTATAATGCAAACTTTAAATTGGACCAATCAGTGTCCGCTATTCATAACAGCCCGCCATATTTTTGAGATCAGTGAGGATGACCACCCACCCCAACATCATTGGTCACCCACGCCCGCGATAATTGATGAACTTTAGACTTCGCTAATGCTTTCGTTTCCCCGGGTGTAAATAGTCGGGGGGGATTAGTACCCTCGCACGGCGCTTCGCGCCGTTGGCTCGGGGAAAATAGCCTTTTAAAAACACGGGCGCTGGTTGATCAAAAGCTCAAAAAACCCGTGTTTCTATAACTCGATTGAAACAAGGCGAATTTTCACGCGGGTTGCGTGGATTGCGCGGGAGTTGAAGAGACAATATACAAACAATATTTAATTTTGAAAAAAGTTGAAAAACGTCCCGAAATGCCGAAGAACCGTTACAAAAAAAGGCAACACTTTGCTAATTTAGAAAGCGAAGACCTAAAGCACAAAGTATAATTATAGCACACATTGTATCTGTTTGACTGTTTTATACCAAAGTAAAGATATTTTAATTTTTATACTTTGTCTTTTAAAAAAAATATTCCCTCGCGACGTTTTTAATCATGTTTACTATAGTTTTTAATCATGTTTAAACGTTCACTAACTATTTAGAACAGTATTTTCTTTGCATGCAAGCATGTACGTTGAGTGAATTATATACTTTGTAAAATAAGCCTGTTAGGTGCTGTCTGTTGTTTTGACAGCGATGTACTTGTTTACTTCGCTATGCTTTTATAATTATTCTTTACACGAACGTATATTAAGGTGGAATTAATATTAATATTTGAATGAAAGCAATTAAAATCAATAAATTTATCTTTTCTATTGTTTTTAAAAGGCTATTTAATAAAGGAAATAAAATTTTTTTTCCGTGTTTCTATAGAGTTTATAGAAACACTTGTGAAAGTTTGGGAGAAACTCGAAATTGCGTGGAAACACTCGCACTTCGTGCTCGTGTTCCCACGCAATTTCTCTTTCTCCCAAACTTTCACGCGTGTTTCTATAACTCTATAGAAACACGGAAAATATTTTCTATTTCTTAAATGTCAGCTATATACAATGAGAACATATAAGATTTACCGGTTCAATTAAACTAGTCATGATTTACACTGGTAAAAAGTGCGGTTTTCCTAAACCCGGAGTAAGGAAACCGACAATAGAATACAATTCATTTCGGGACTCCTATGATTCGGCGTAATAATTTTCAAAAATAAAAACAATACTCAATAGTACATTTGGAATAAATGCATGTGTACATGCACCAACATATTTTGTTTATTGTATATATATATATATATATATATATATATATATATATATATATATATATATATATATATATATATATATATATATATATATATATATATATATATATATATATATATATATATATATATATATATATATATATATATATATATATACTCAAGTTTTGTTATGCACTTACAACTTACAAGAATCGTCATCTCAATAAAACCCGACCCGCCAATTGTTGAAAAGCAGCCTACTGTAAAACATTAAGCACGGCCACGGAACAAAAACGCAGGCAATACCAACATATCTGTGCTGAGTGGTTATATTACTACCTTAAAAAATAAGCAGAAACTCGACGTTTCGAGCGAAGGCCCTTCGTCAAGAGTTAATTCTTGACGTCAAGAGCTACTAACTCTTGACGAAAGGGCCTTCGCTCGAAACGTCGAGTTTCTGCTTATTTTTTAAGATAGTAATATAACCACTCAGCACAGCATTTCTACATTGGTACTACCTATATTGGTACAGACAGTTTTAGTATAAATACCAACATATACATATTAACACATTCAGAAGCCAACAATCACTTTTTAGAATAGAATGACCTTATTTACAACGTTAACACTATTAATTCTAATTTCACCTATAATTTTCCCCACAGACTGGTCAGAGCCAAGCGCCTTTCCGAGCATACGTCAGTTTTCCCATTGTAACCCTCAATTATTTGAAAACATCTTTGTTTTCATTCCATGCCCATGGCGGCAATGCCAAAGTTCAAAGGCAAAATTCCCGAAACATTATCATGCAGTTGTAGTTACCCTCTTACTCTTCTGACAACAACTATCTTTATTACCCGACTAATAATACACTGTAAACACTTATTTATCATACTGTATAGAATTATCTACTGAGCACTGGCTTCCAAACTGATAACCAAAATAACGGCAAAGGGCTAGAGGTCAATCTTTCAAAAACCGAAAACAAAGTCAAATACAAACGACAACAAAAAATAAATAATAAAGCCTGAATAAAATTGCATCAACAAGAAATTAATGAATTTGCAAATGAGTAATATATTATGTAAGAAAATCAATAACTTTCAAGAAAGGTTTCTTTTACGTCCTACAGAGTATAGTAGATTTTCCTATTATAAGAAGTAGATTTGATCCCCTCCTTTACCATGCAGAACAGCAAACATTTCCTGTGTGAGTAGAGTGTGCATATTTTTGGAATGACCAATGCCACAATGGAATATGTACATATTTTTGGAATGACCATTATAAACTTGCATTGTTGCATGCGTGCATGAGTGACATACTACACCTTAAAATTGCAATAGCTTAGGCTCTCATAGGAGTCATTAAAGCCGGGGCCACTGGGACAGACGGTCCCAGGCTAATTAAGGTATCCAAAGAAAGGGTAAGATAAAAGGTACCCTAATTAGGTAATCAAAGATAGTTGAAGGTATACTAAGGTAGTCTAAGGTACCCTAAGGTAGTCTAAGGTATCCTAAGGTAGGCTAAGGCAGTCTAAAGGTTGTCTAAGGTACCCTAAGGTACCCAAAGGTAGTCTCAGGTACACTAAGGTACAGGGTGTTAACCAGCCGGCCGTCTGACCATCCTACGGACCACCACTTTTGAATTCGGACGGCTAAATTTTAATGGACGGTGTTAGTGCCAAAAATATATAGCTTATTGTTTATGTTTAATTTAAGATAGTTATAGATACTTATTCAAATTTAGGAGACTATTTGCATATTCGCCTTTCAATTCTAACTTGTTTGTGTCATGTAATATATTCATATAACAAACCGCCAATATTTAACTGCAAGGTCGTCTAGACGAGAATTCTCATTAGCGATTAACGTACATTGAACGAACAACTTAGCTTAATTCTACCGATCTTGTACTATAGTTACAACGTTTTTGTACCGTACTATGTTATAAACGATTAAAGTATAACGGTAATAAGTATAATATAAACGAGTACAAAGTGTTGTTTAATTTGGTTCATCCCTGCCGGTGTCGAGCGAGCATATCGCAGATTCGCATCGACATTAGTACAAAAACGTTACAACCGAAGTATGTCAACGAAAGCTGATAGCTTAGTAAGCGAACTAAGCGACATGGATTTAGATCTGGAGTTAACGCCGCTGGGAAATGATGATATTAGCGTTCATGTAAATAGACGGTTCAAAAAACAAACAGACAAAGGACGGGCATATCAAATCGAGAGGAAGAAAGAACATTGTAAATCCATACAGAAGCGTATAACCAAAATAATGAAGACGATAGAAAGCTCCATAACCGATTGGGACAACGTACACGAAGTTCAAAACGATTTAGAAGTGTTCAGTCAACAACTGGTTGAATTTCAAGCAGCTTATGAAGCGTGGCGTGATTTATTATCGGGACAACAGCTCGTTCCGGTGACTGATTGGTATGACGAACATTTTCGAATAATGAATAATTGTAAAGTCAAAATAGTCGATTGGATTGCCGTGGCTAAATACAAAATAGAAGAACAAATGGATGACAAGTCAAGCGCCTTGAAATCCTCAATCGAGTCTCGTCGATCGGCCGGTTCAAGACATTCGAGTACGTCGGGCAGAGCTAGAGAAAGGGCAAAGGTCGCCGAGTTAAGAGCAAAAGCCGCGTTGTTAGAGAAAAAACAAGCACTTGAGAATGAGTCGGAAAAATTACGATTACAAGAAGAACTTGCTATTGCTCAAGCTCGAGAACAAGCCTTTATTCAAAACGACATTGAGTTGAAGCGGGAAGCTACAATCGATGGGATGAATGAATATCTAGGGGATACTCGTCCGATGCCGAAAGAGAACTTATTACACGATCAATTAACGAAGAATATACCCACTCCGCAGTTTTCTTCAACGAACATTCCCCAACCAACTCCTGTCTCCGCGTTTCATTCAAGAAGAGCCCATCAAACTCCAGTTAGATTGCCACAATACTCGTCACATGAGTGGAAACCACCACCAAGTGAATACAGAAACAGAGTTACTTTGGATAACGACCCCTTAATATACTTACTGGAAAAACAGAATCGACTGACGGAAATGCTCTCTGAACAACATCAACAGAATTTCTTGCCCTCACTTTCCCTGTCCAGTTTCAAAGGCGATCCAACAGAGTATCACCTTTTTATACGTACATTCGGGATGCGAGTTGAAAGAAACGTCAAATCAAGTGGAGCCCGCATGCAATATCTACAACAATATCTGGATGGAGAACCTAAAGACCTTATAAAAGGATGTCATTATATGGAACCTGATGCAGGCTACGTTGAAGCCATGAAGTTATTGAATGAGAAATATGGGGATCCATATAAGGTGTCAAACGCATACCTGAAGAAAGTGAACGATTGGCCCACCTTAAGACCAGGAGACGACAACGCCTTGGAAAAATTGGCGATCTTTTTGACACAATGCCTGAGTGCCATGGAATCTTTATCATATCTCGTGACTTTGGACCACCCTAATAACTTGCAATGTTTGGTGAAGAAACTTCCCTTTTATCAACAAGAACGTTGGCGTAGAGAAGTAACGAAGCTTAGAGAAAAAAGCAAAAACCCTGCTTTTAAACACTTTGTCAATTTTGTCAAAACAGAAGCAAAGATAGCGACCGATCCGATCTTCTCAAGACAAGCACTAGACAAAATTGGTCAAGATGACAAGAGTAAATTCAAGAGAGGATCGACTTCGAAGTTCACAAGTAACGCAACAATGATGAAAGAAGAATCGCCCAATTCATGCATCGCTTGCAACGGTTTTCACGACTTGGACGAGTGTAAGGTGTACTTGAAGAAATCGTTATCAGAAAGAAGGGCTTTGATAGCTAAAAGAGGATTGTGTTGCGCTTGTTACGGTTCTGGACATAGATCCCGTGGATGTATCCAGAGACGTTCTTGTAAAACTTGTTCAGGCCGTCATCCCACAGGATTGCATGATGAGAACTTTCGCATGAAGAACAAGAATTCCGACGAACCATCAAAGGATATTGACAGAACTGAGGATGGTAACTCTGACAATCAGCGAAAAAGCTGCTCTTATGCTGCCGCTCATGAGGTTGTTTGTGATTCTAGCAACGTGAAATTCTCTATTGAATCAATGCCTATAGTTCCAGTTAGACTACGAAGTAACGACAAAGAAATTATTACCTACGCCATGCTGGATTCTTGTAGTACCGGTACTTTCATTTCAGAAGATGCAGTTAAACGACTCGAAGTAAATGGAACGGACACTAAAGTGATGATTCGAACTATGAATGGTCCAAAAATGCATGATACCAAGGTAGTGAATGGTCTCATAGTTTCTGACTTAGATGGTGCCAATTCAATCACCCTCCCAAAGGTTTTCTCCCGTGATGAAATCCCTGGACGCAAGAGTGAAATACCACGTCAAGAATTGTGTCGTAAATGGAAACACCTGGAGCGTGTCGTCGAGCAAGTTCACCCGTATATGGAAAACGTTAAGATTGGTCTTCTCATAGGAACAAACTGTCCACAGGCTATTGAACCCAGAGATTTTGTCGCCAGCAATAATGGAGGCCCCTTTGCAGTTCTAACTTTTGCGGGTTGGACTATAGTTGGACCACTTTATCTGTCTGACAACGAGAACGAAGTCGACTGCCACAGAATAGTTGTTCAAGAGATAGGATCAGACAAGCCCTCCGAACATCATTTCATGGTTGAAGATTCCGTCAAAGAGTTGGTGACGCCTGAATCATTGAACAAAATGTTCGAACTCGAGTTCAACGAAAGACATTGCCAAAAGGAACAGTATTCCCAAGAAGACAAGAGATTCATGGAAAAGATTCAGCGAGATACAGAGTATGTGAATGGCCATTACGTAATTCCACTTCCCTTCCGTGATGATGATGTACATATGCCTTCGAATAAAGAACAAGTTATCCTAAGAGCTAACTGGCTGAAGAAGAAGTTAACTAAGAACACTAAATTTTGTCAGGATTACACAAAGTTCATGAACGACATTTTCCAAAAGGGTTATGCTCGAAGAGTGCCAGATGAATATCGTATTCCGGAAGAGGGAAAAGTTTGGTACTTACCTCATCACGGAGTATACCACGCAAAGAAGCCAGATAAAATTCGCGTGGTATTTGATTGCAGCGCCCGATTTCGAGGGACTTCTTTGAATGAGCGGCTACTCCAGGGCCCAGACCTGACGAATTCCTTGATTGGTGTTCTCACGAGATTTCGAGAAGAGCATTCCGCATTTATGGCCGACATTGAAAGCATGTTTTACCAAGTTCGTGTGAAAGAAGAACATAAAACCTTTCTTCGTTTTTTGTGGTGGCCAAACGGAGATTTGTCGCAGGACTTAACAGAGTTTCAGATGAACGTACATTTATTTGGTGCGATTTCCTCGCCGAGCTGCTCGAATTATGCACTGAGAAGAACAGCAGATGAGTTCGAAGAAGAAGGCAGCGAAACTGCCAACGTTTTAAGAAAAAATTTCTATGTGGACGATTGTTTGAGATCTGAGAAAACTGAAGAACTGGCAACTGAGCGAATCAACAGTGTTACCCGAATGTGTGCTCAGGGCGGCTTCCGTCTCACCAAGTTTACGAGCAACAAACGTCGCATACTGGAAACAATACCAGAAGAAGAACGATCTAAGGAACTTAAAAGCCTGGATCTGAGCTACGATCATTTGCCAATAGAACGTGCTCTTGGGGTGCAATGGTTCGTCGAATCAGATGAACTGGGATTCAAGATTGTCTTGAAAGATAAACCACTGACTCGTCGAGGTGTTTTATCAACTATCAGTTCGATTTATGATCCAATCGGAATGGCGGCACCGATTCTATTGCCTGGCAAGAAAATTCTTCAAGAGCTCTGCAGGGATAAAGTCGATTGGGATGATACCCTACCTCAAGAATACCGTGCTCGTTGGGAAAGATGGAGAAACGAACTTCCTACATTGGAACGGTTTGTTTTAGCTCGATGCCTCAAACCCCTGGATTTCGGAACGTCAGTGAGTAGACAGATTCACAGCTTTTCCGACGCAAGTTTCACAGGTTATGGTCAAGTCTCGTATCTGCGACAAGTTAACGACAGAGGAGATATTCACTGTGCTTTTCTGATGGGAAAGTCTCGTCTTACCCCGTTGAAAGCAGTAACCATACCACGCCTGGAGCTTACGGCTGCTGTATTATCTGCCAAACTCGGAACCATGCTTAAAGAAGAATTGGACTTACCGGAGAAAGAGACATATTGGACGGACAGCACGACAGTCATAAAGTATATCAATAATGATAAAGCCCGTTTTCATACATACGTCGCCAATCGAGTTCAAGCTATCCGAGATCGAACTGATGTGAATCAATGGAGATATGTGGATACCAAGGAAAATCCAGCCGATGACGCCTCACGCGGTATGGAAATTCACAGTTTTCTCGAAAAGCAGCGCTGGATAAGAGGACCAGAATTCTTATGGAGACCAGAGATCGAGTGGCCAGAATATCCCGAAACAGTTAAGGAAATCGGCGATTACGACCTAGAGATCAAAACTGCGCATTCAACGATAATTGAACAAAATGACTTGCTGAAGCGTTTGGAATGCTTCTCGCAGTGGTCGCGTGTGAAGAAAGTCGTTGCGTGGTTGCTACGGTCACTTAAGCCAAAATACGAGCCAGCAATTCCGATGACTAGGAACAATGCTAAGAAGATTTCAGAACAGAAACTTAGACCAATTACAGTTGACGAAATGGAAAAGGCTGAAATAGTAATCCTGAAATTGGCTCAAAATGATTCATTTTCCGATGAAATTGCTGCCCTTAAAGAAGTATTAGCTGAGAACCACAGCGATCCAAGAGCGAAGATTAGCAGTGAAAAGAAAAAAGTCAAAACGATTAGTTCCTTGTTTCGACTGGACCCGTTCATCGATAGAAACGGACTGTTACGTGTCGGAGGAAGATTAAGCAAATCAAGAAGCTTGCCCGAAGATCTTATGCATCCTGTAATATTACCGAAGAAAAGCCATATCACGACTTTGGTTATCCGTCACAGCCACGAAAAGGTTGCACATGCGGGAAGAGGAAATACCCTAAACGAGCTCCGAAGCAAATATTGGATAACAAATGCAAACTCGGCAGTTAGACATTATATATCGAAGTGCGTTAGGTGTCGAAGATTGCGTGCCGTCGTCGGTGAGCAAATGATGGCCGATTTACCCAAAGATCGTGTCTCACCAGCACCGCCATTTACTTACTGCGCTGTGGACTACTTTGGCCCGTATTTCGTGAAAGAAGGCCGTAAGCAGTTGAAGAGATATGGTGTATTGTTCACATGCCTGGCCAGCAGGGCGATCCATCTTGAAACAGCGATTTCTCTAGAGAGTGATTCGTTCATATGTGCCTTAAGAAGATTCGTCGCCAGACGTGGACCTGTACGTCAAATGAGATCAGATCGTGGAACCAACTTTATCGGTACTGAAAGGGAACTCAAGTCAGCGTTAGAAGAAATGGACCATAAACGACCACAGGAAATTTCCTCAAAAGAGTTCAACGCAGATTGGTTGATCAATTGGAACCGAAATCCACCAGCCGCTTCGCATATGGGAGGAGTATGGGAGAGGCAGATCCATACAGTTCGATCGATTTTGTCTTCTCTTCTACGCGATTACGGACACGCCCTGAATGATGAATCCTTACGCACTTTAATGACCGAAGTGGAATGTATTGTTAATAGCCGACCGTTAACCTTCCCATCCGGTGATGCCACAGATCTCCAACCTTTGACACCCAATTACATTCTGACCATGAAATCTAAAGTGGTTATGCCTCCCCCCGGTGATTTTCAAAAAGAAGATGTTTATCTTCGAAAGAGATGGAGAAGAGTCCAATACATGGCGAACATATTTTGGACAAGATGGAAAAGAGAATATTTGCAAACCTTACAAGCGAGAACGAAGTGGAATCAGCCTAAAAGAAACATCGAGATTGGAGACATTGTTCTTATTAAAGATGAAAACACCGCAAGAAATGATTGGCCTATGGCACGAGTGGTCAACGTAAGGCAAGATTCGAAAGGATTCGTTCGTTCAGCGACGCTCAAGTTATCATTTTCCACCCAAGAACGTCCAATTGATAAACTGGTACTGTTGATGGAAAACGACGAAACTTTAGATGGACGAAACTTTAGATGGACAAAACATTAAGTAGATTTCATTAATTGTTTTTTTTTTACCTATAATAGTAATTTATTTGTAGACACTTTTTTATATTTGGAGAAGAACGGACAGTTTTTAGATAATAGAAAAATGCACTAACTGGAATTATATTGAGTATAAGAGCAGGATATCCTCTTATAGGGGAGCCTAATGTTAGTGCCAAAAATATATAGCTTATTGTTTATGTTTAATTTAAGATAGTTATAGATACTTATTCAAATTTAGGAGACTATTTGCATATTCGCCTTTCAATTCTAACTTGTTTGTGTCATGTAATATGTAATATTTCAAATCCGAGTTAGTGTTTTAGACGTGGTTTCTAAATACAAGTGCCATGAACAATGGCGAGGCGCAGCCGAGCCATTGTTCATGGCACTGGGGATTTGGAAGCCAAGTTTAAAACACTAACGAGGATTTGAAATTGCTTCTCACACATCATTAGACTTTCATAGCAATGAGGCATGAAATTATTAGATATTCAAAAAAGTGAGCGTGGGCATTGACGATTACATTCGCTTGAAAGTTTGCATGAAGTGCAACGAAGCATTCAGTTCGCTTTCGTCCTGAATAGATGAATTTTGTTGGCAAAAGAGCATGGTATCTTCTTATAATGTAAGAAAAAGCGGTTTCGAGAACCAGAAAGTGTTGAGCACAGTATTGTGCACGGTATTGTCGCTCGGTTGACAAGGTTGGGGATCCGAAAAACGATATATCAGATTGTGTGTGCGATAAGGCGCTATCTGTTGGAAAATGAAAGAGCCGAAGTGAATATATATTTTATAGACGGTAAACATTACTGGTAAGTTGCTGTATTATAGTATTTAAAGCGTTGTTTATTATGATAGTTGGTAAAAAAGTTGGTTTTCCTATATTTATGTAGTTTTCAAACGTTCAGGAAAAGTGTTAGCTATAAAGAGTAGTTAGAATAAATTTCTAAATACAACTTACTGTATTTAGAAATAATTCTAAACATAGCAATTAAATATATTTGCATAATCTTTTGTTTACCCCTCAATTTCCCTATTGTTCAAAGCCCTTCCCACTTGAAGTAATTAAAGTCCTGATCTAGACGGGGTATCCAGATAGATACACGTGATGTAAATTAAACCATGTCATTGGCCGAAATGCTATGAATATCTAATGATGTATGAGAAATTCATATAACATACCGCTAATATTTAACTGCAAGGTCGTCTAGACGAGAACTTCATTAGCGATTAACGTACATTGAACGAACAACTTAGCTTAATTCTACCGATCTTGTACTATAGTTACAACGTTTTTGTACCGTACTATGTTATAAACGATAAAAGTATAATGGAAATAAGTATAATATAAACGAGTACAAAGTGTTGTTTAATTTGGTTCATCCCTGCCGTGTCGAGCGAGCATATCGAAGATTCGCATCGACACTGTCCAACAGCGTCTTATTCCAGTCACAATTTAGATCTCCCAGAACAAGTAGTTCTTTACTTTCTATCTCACATTTATTAATAAACATTTCAAAACTGTCAAATAGATCTATGTTTGAATTTGGTGACCTGTACCAAGCACTAATTAAGAAAGGTTTACCGTATTTACGGCACATTTCAATGCACACCATCTCAAGCTGATTAGGAATCAGTTCTTTCCGCTCTATAAATGAAAAGCAGTCTCTGATATACAACACGACACCCCCACCATTTCTATTACGATCCTTTCGGCACAAAGCGTATCCTGGTATTTTGATCTCATTGTCAGAAATAGAGTCATCTATTTTAGACTCGTTTATAGCTAGGACATCCAGCGGATTTTTTTCTAAAATCACTCGAATCTAATCGATATGTTTCAAAAGACTATTTACATTCAAACTGGCGATTCGAAATCCTTTTGATTTAGCAATTATACTTAGAGGATACAATATTGACATTACTATCAGTATTGGGATAATTATCATTTAACGAGTTAGTCTTCTTTAAAACATAGATATCTGAGTTAAGGCAGCCAGATTTAGCAGATCTCTGAAAAAATTTTCAGAAGATACATGGTTTCCTACTGGTTGTTTATTTAATTGTTTATCAGGGTTTAAAAATTTAACAAAGCGTGTAGCTAGTAAAGCAGATCCTTTTGCGCTCAGATGTAATTTACTATTATTAAGTCCAGATTCATCTACGATTGAATTGTCAATAAAAGAAAAGCCAGATTCATTGCATAAACGTCTTAGATCTTCATTTACTTGATACATTTTACTCGATGCTTCAATATCTTTCCTTAAAATGATACTTGAAACACCTAATTTAGCCTTAGGAAACTTTTCTTTAATACTAGAACACAAACCTTTGATGTTCTTTATACACTGATCACCTGTGTCGGTTGGTAGATTGTTCGTCCCGGCGTGTATAATAACATGGGTTGGATGTAACTGAACCTTTATATTCTTTACTTCAGATGCAATTTCCTCCGCTCTTTTGCCTGGAAACGTGAATTTATTAACCCGTTTTCTTGATAGTTTACGACTATTAATGTTCTTAATCATTGAGTCTCCAACAATAGCGATATTTGGTTTGTTTTCAGATTGATTTTCCTTCTGTCGATGACCATTTAGATTTTGATTTACTTCATTTATTTCAGCAGGAACATTATTGGCTTCCTCTACCCTCAAATGGGGGAAACGGTTACTGGTTGGGACAGCCGGTCCTGCAACTCGATCATAATCCAACGATTTTTCCTTTGAACAATTTATTTCTACCGTGCTTTGTGCACTGAGGCTATTTTGGGTTAAAATGTTATTGCGAAATTGATAACGCTCCGCTTCGGTATTACTCTCGGGTGGTCAATTGTCTTGTAAAGGGTAATTGCCGTTTGATGGTTGACTGATTCCCAAATCATTACACAATAGCCGAACAGATGTAATTAGGCTGGCTTTTTCGTCTTCAGCTACTTTAGCTTTCCCTTGCAAATCAGCAAGAATATTGTTCAAATTACTTATTCAATCGGTTAAGTCTTTATTTTGGTTTTTGAGTTCAAGATTTTCTTGTTTTAAAGCTGTTGATTCACTGTCTGGATGTGGATTATTAATTTGCTTTAACTCGTTTGAATGTTCCCACAATATGTTGTTTACAGTTGACATATTCGCAGCAAATTCTTTAGATAAAACCTGCAGCCGATTTTCAAAATATTTCATATGTTCTTCCAGAGACTTGTCGTTACGATCGGGTTTACTGGTTGCTTCGGCCGGAGATATAAAAGAGTTCCCCAGAGCACAGTCTGTGTCACTATTGTGCTTGTCTACTTCAGCTAATTCCTTAGAAATTGAGGCTATCGAGTACAGTTCTTCTTCGGTCTCGCTTTGACACCTTCCATTCAATGTGATTGTTTTAGCTTTAGCATACCATGTGATGGAGACGCCTTCGCTTTCAAACAATTTTGTATCGCCCCCAGGAGATGATAATTCTCCATTCGGTAGATTTAGTACTTCTTCGACAAATTTTCGTAGAAGATCATATGAGGAATTCCAAATCAGCTTTCCTTTATCGTTTACAGACAGATTATGTAGAAGGTTTTGTTCGGTTAAACGGACATTTTGCCTTGAGTTAGCGCAACGAAAATTACACGTCTTCACTCTACGACTGCTCTTTATTATCATATAGTGTTGATTTATTAGTAATAAACCTGTGTATATTTTTATTTTTTTATTTTACAGATTTTGCCATTGAACAGAATACACTATATTACATAAAATTAATTACAAAATAGGCTACATGGCTGGAATTACCACACAGAGATTATTAGTTCGATCTCCAATAACGGGATTCCAAAACATTTAAAATACAATTATAAACAATAACAGACTTACAGACAAACAGACAGACATGAATAAATTTAGCAACAAGATCGATTGGACAAGCTGCTCAATGGGCGAGTTGTGTGACACTTCACACAAACAGACTTAAATGTTCTCGGATCTTCGGGATTGTAAATTTCCTTAGTGAGATTATTATGATGTTTCATTAAACAAAATTTAAAAAAGACCACAGTTTTGTTGGCTTCTCTGATCGAGTAGGGGAGTGTGTTCCACACATTGGCAACTCTGACGTAGAAGCTGTTTTGATAGCTCACTGTCTTGTACTTGGCTACTTCGAGTAAAATGCCATTGGTTGCGTTGGTATTTCGTGTTTCTCGAGCAGGAGTCTTGATGGAGATGTTTCTGTCAGAGTTAGAAATGATGCACTTGTACAGATACACCAGATCCAAATACTCATGCCAGTAACATATAGGGATGATGCGATGGTGATCAATCGTTCCTTGTACGAGATGTCTGTTTGGTATGGCAATGACAAAATAAATTTAGTGGCACGGCGCTGCACACGTTCAACGATCATGATGTTGTTGACCGTCTGGGGTGCCCACACTTGACTACCATAAGCCAGCTGACTACGGACCATAGTCAAGTAAAGAACCTTACGAAGCTGTCGCTGCCGAATATCGAACGCTGTTCGCTTAACGAAACCTAACATTTTGTTAGCTTTGGTGGATATCTCTTGCACCTGCTTGTTCCATTTCAGATCGCTAGTGGTAATTATGCCAAGATCTTTTTGACTGGACGATTGTTGGACTGGAGTACCTGATATAGTGTACTGTGTGATCGTCGGTCGAAGAATTCGGGAAAAATGCATGACTACACACTTGGTTTGATTTAAATCAATCCTCCAATCATGACACCAGTTGGTAATCTTATCCAGGTCTTGTTGCAGAATTTTGGTGTCTTGGAGATTTCGAAGAGGGCGGTGGCATTTGGTGTCGTCAGCGAACATTGTCACAGTAGTATCGAATGAGGTAGGCTTGGGAAGATCGTTATAAATTAATATAACGCAGCAAATGCGCGCCAAGCAGTATATAAACGCGGCTGAAATACGATATTAAAATCTTGAATGTGCCGTATGATTTAATTATGTTTTAGGATTTAAAGCCTTTAAAAATGCTTTGTCATTTGTATTTGTACTTGTACTGCATCACAACGGAATGCGTAAGTGAACAGATTCCACATGTGAGGTTGTCTTGTATATATGTTTGCCTTCTTTGATATAAAAATTATTAAACACGCAAATTTAGTGAGACGCACACTCGCACATGATAAATGTCACCTGCATGTCATTGTCATTGCCCTTTAATCCCTGGTATAAATCATATGATTACGAAACTTCGTGCGCCGAGTTATCATATCAAAACCTAAAATATTTTTGGCGTTCCTCTCAAAATTACTTTGTTTTAGCTTTATTCTGTACAGTTTATAGAGTTAGCTACCTTTTTAAATGCGTCTGCCGGTTGAGAAACATAAAATAATAGTTAAAAATTGCCAATTAAAATACAATTATCAATGATGCCTTAAAATTGACGCTATATTTACAGCCATTTAAATTAAGCAAGACATACTGAACTTCAGACATCATTTTCTCTTTGGCGTATCATCTAAAATCTCTTCATTTTAGCATTATTTTACAGATAATTTAAAGCACTAAACATACTTTTTAAGTTGTTTTTTTACCGATTGAGAAACGTATCGAAAAATAAAAATTTTGATTTTAGTCATAATCTCATGTGGTATATTATACGCATTAGTTTTGAGCGTGTGTTACGTAACATACAAAAAATCTCATTTAAAGATTTGGGAACAATGCTATACCAAGGTAGCATTCACTACCCCGTGGGTAAACTAGTATTAAGTCTAATACTGCTAGACCAATTTACCACATTATATACACCGTAATTAAATTAACCTAAGAAACCAAAATTTTATAATAGTATAGAACTAACAGTTGTCAGTGGCCAAAGACCATTAAGTGAATTACAAGGCACAAAGTGCAGTCACGTTATTTTATACACTAAATTATGGCCTTTGCAGGGCCTAAAACTTTACTAATTAAAACCTTACGTGGGAAACCACAACAGCTATTGCCAATTACAGCGGCCCCACATTACTTCAAAACCATGCACCTCTCTGCGCAAATTAGAATACTGCTTCGCTCGTTCGTTTCAGGCTCGCTCGCTGCGCAGCAGTTATGAAGGGTTATCCATGAATTTTCACCACAAAAGTGTGTACTACTTGTTGGGTATGTCATGTAGTACACACTATAGTGGAACGAAAAAGAACACGAAAAACGTGAAGAGTTTGTCTTGAAGCAAATTTTCAACGCAGGGGTGGGTCATCAATTTTTATGCAAGGGCTTTATGACCGGTCCCTTACAATTTCCTTCCAAATTGGAAATATTCTGGCAAGTGGAAGCCATTGTGAAGAAATCACATGAACACAAGATCGGTTTTTTGTCAGTTCTGTTTGTCGAAACACGTCGTGTACTTCACTGCCATGGCTCCGAAGACATTCCATTTTTCCATTGTTCATTTGTACTTTGTCTTAGTTTCGCTTCAACTTCTGGAGTCACGTTATATACCAGCTGTGCTGGTGCAGTTGATACAGAAAATCTCAATCTCAAAAGTTCTTAATAGCTTTACGAAACGGAAATTATATAAACAAGGCCGCCGGACAACTCAGTTCAGGGTGCCCCCCTGGAAGCCCGATTGCCTGGGTGCCCCAGCTCTTACCGTGTAGAGCTCACAGGAGTTACGCCACTGGCCCAGACAGAAAATTCAGTTTTTAAGTTTGAGGTTAACGTTTGTGGTATAAATTATACACATGGATCCTGATACATTTGATACATTTTATTTCTATTTTTATAATATGAATTTTAATACATGCACAAACGCTCTTGAAAACATTTCTGCATATTTTCCATGGTCCACCCTCATGATATCAATCAACTTTCGGTGATCCAGCCCTTCAACCCAGAGGAGGTTGCACAGCAGGCCGCAAAGCATCATGGGTATTGAGCGCCTAATTCCACGCGTGGCTTTCATTGACTGATGACTGTCGAGGAGTGAACATCTCTCTGACTACAAAACCAATATGGAAGGTTTCGAACGACAAGAATGTCAGGCTGCGATATTTTGTGAAAGCAGCATGTTATTGCTGTATTGTTGCGATCATCATTATGACTTATGTTTTACTATATCAAGTTTACTTTTTTTTAAATTGCATGGGACGTGCTGTCATTTTAGCTTTATAAATAATCCGTCTGAGAAAAGGAATTGTGTTTAATTTATATTCCCAATAGCGAGGCTCTTCTTTCTAAGTTGGATGGCGTTAAATCTCTGTGTATCATCAACGTGAAAACAAGCGCAGTATTTAAGGTTGGTATACTACAATGCATTACAGTTATTGTGTTATTTTACAGTCAAATTTCCGCTTTGTTGTTTTTATTCTTGTACTTTTAATATAAATACACTGTACAAAATTAAGGCGTCATACTTGTGTTTATAATGCCTCTAGTTTGACCCTATTGTGTGTGTATATGTACTGTGTCACTGTGATACATATGTACACGTTTTGAGTTAATTAAACGAATTGTTGAAGTATGATGCCTGTACATATATGTGCATACAGTATAGTTATATTTTTCAATTTTCATCTGTAAAATAATATTTGTGTATTCTAATATTACTGTATTAAAATACTGTAGTGACACACTTTTGCATTAGATTGCTAATTTTAGAGATTACAGTGTATGTATAAAATAATAAAATAAAAAATTTCTTGTTATGATTTTGTAGAAAGAGATCTACTTGAGTGGTTCAGTGGTTGACTGGTCTCATGGCCAGAAATTTAAGACATTTGAGCCTACGCTTAACGCAGCGGTCCGCCGCATATAATATTATGCGAGAGCAACATGGCCGCCAAACGCGTGAGAGAGTCAATTGATTATCAACAAGTGAATTCGTTTTCATCTGTTGTATTATACAACGGAACTAAAAGAAGCCGTAAAAAAGGAAAACTGTACGAAGTCGAACGCTTGATTGAGAGAAGGAATAAAGGAAGGGTACGTATGGCTTTACTTTATTTGATTATTTCATATCTTTAAAATCCAACATCTCAATTCACTATTACTCAGGTTGGTAAATTTCATGGACATGCTGTTGATAAATTTATCATTGCTATAAATTACAGAGGTTTCACTCACATGCAGTGTGTTCATTGAAGTATTTAGTGTTATATGAAAAAAGCACAAGTTTTAAACCCTCCCATCTAATAATTTTTAAAGTGAAATGGTGCGAGTTTCATGCCTTTTTACAAATTATATATTGTATAGGAGCTATTCAAGACCGTTGACACCATCTGATGATGTGCTGTTGGAATCATGCCGAGAATTTTCGGTTGGAGATGTTTCATGCCTGAAAAGTGCTTCCTTTTCTCCAATTTATTTGCCAATGCGCTTGGATGTGTGGAGGTTTGTTGTTCACCAGAGAGGAAAAGAGTCGAATCATCGTGGTCATCTTATGCTTGAGAAGAATGATGTTTCTCGACTTAAATTCCTGCCCAACAACTGGTGGTATTTTCTGAATGAAAATGGAGAAGGAAAGGCTGTTGACTTTCCCATCAAGGTCAAACCAGTTCTCTCCTGGTCTCCATTGACATTTGAGTTGCGCAAGGACAAACTTGGCCAGGCTCCGAGAATGTCTTTGGAAAAACTAAAACTATATATACTAAAGAGGCCATGCAATGTAAATAATTTAATTTAACATAATATATTTCATATACAAGTATAGTTTCTAAATTAGTGTTCCGAAGCTGATTGAATAGCCATTTGGTATAGCTCTTGGAGCCGCTTTACATTCCGTGCTCTAGTTGGGTAACCCATTTCTCGGAGCTTGACTCGAATCTCAAGCGGACTCATAGTGTGTACAGCATCCAACCCATTCTGTTGAGTATGGCCATTATTTTCAGGGGTTTTCAAATTTTCCAGTCGTGCTGCCCTGCTCTCTTTTATTGTTGTTGACCAGTATTCAGCATTTCTCTTAGTGTATGGCCTTGATGTTCTCCTAAATTCCTCCAAGTTTTCGAGGCGTTTGCTGGCAAGGAGGACATCTTTTGCAGCATCCCACTTGTTAGACTTTAAAAGGTGAGTCTTTCTGCAGTCGTCGTTGTTTTTCTCTACTCCTAAGATGCATTGTTAAAAATAATTGACCGCATCAGAAAACAAAACAAGAATCTTGATTTCTTTGTTAATTGTTATGCATATATATATATATATATATATATATATATATATATATATATATATATATATATATATATATATATATATATATATATATATATATATAGTGATCATGCCTCGTTCTTCAAAAACCACTCTGCAAGTATACTTTGGCATTGAACGATTGCGCGTATACAGTTTGGCATTGCTAGCTTCACTCTAGCTTCACTGAAGCTTGTATATCTTTATATTTACCGAGTGCTCCTTTATATATCGGTTAAACACTAGCATGTATGATGATAAAATCCTAAATAAGTCATATCAGTGAACATTCTATACAGTTGTATATAGAATAATCATGCATCATACAATATACATTTTAAATTCACCTGTTGAGTGTGGCAAGCATTGCTTGTCATACGAAACAAGTTTGTAGTGAATAAATCTTATGAAGTAAACCAGGTTTATTTTATCTTTATCTATATTAGCTCTATACTTCGGTATATCGAGCACTCTACTCATATATGATTCTAAATACATATATTGATATATATATATATATATATATATATATATATATATATATATATATATATATATATATGTACTATTTAAAGCACGCGTAGGAGTGTTTTATCACATATAAAACACGACGCGTAGCGGAGTGTTTTATATGTGATAAAACACGACTACAAGTGCTTTAAATGGCTTAAAAAACGACTCATCTTATACGAGTTCATTGGCGAAGTAAGTTTTAAAATAAACTTTGTCTAAACCGAGAAAATCAAAGCTAAAGTTTATGTAAATTAACATGATTTTATATCACATATAAAACCACGACACGCTTATTATTTTTCTTTGTGTTTTGCTCCTGAATTATTAATGAGTTTTTTAAGTATATATAAATTTGTCATGAAAGTATTTAGTTACTACCGTACCTTGGCCACTGAATTTCCTTATTCCTGCATGCTCTCTCATAAAGCTAAGTATGGGATATGATAGACCATTAGATGCATATATGGTGTTACTTTTTTCTTACTCTAACCACCTATTCCTTCCATTGATATGAAAAGCTGGACTCATGGTTTTGCCTAAGAAATGAAAAAAATTGCTGCCATTAGGATAAAAGAAATTAGCAGGATGAATACAAATTACTAAAACAATGTACAATTACATCACTGGATCTTATCAATTGTAAAGGTTTGTTTGATATCAGGCATATTATTTAGAATATTTAATACCATACCTTCTGAAAGTATTCATCAACTTTAGCGGCATCGATGCTTTTTGATGTTAGTATGAGGCAAAGATCATTGAAGTCCTAAATAAAATATAATGAAACAAGTCTAAAAGGATTGTTAAAATTCCAGATAATTGGCTAAACGGGAAACAATACAATTTGTCTGACAATATTCAGTGTGAAGTGCTACAGTATTAAAAGTTATTATAATTAATTAAAAAAAACTTAGGACATTCCATAGTTTAATAACACTATGTTGGATATTTTGATCAACAGCATCTGGATTGATTTCCAATTTTTTGCAAGCTTTTCAAGAAGTAATCTCTCATCTGGACCCATTAGACTTGTAAAATCATATGTTCCACTCCCACTACCATTAGCATTCATTTTCTCCCATATTGGGAAAGACACACCACAACTTCCTATTGCACATAAAAGAGCATCTATATGCCCAGTCATTCTCTGATTAGGAGCCTTATTGTGGTTGTCTTTTGCATCTAAAGACAGTGCTCCTAATATCAAGTTGTTCAGCAAAACATCTGCCAATATAAATTTAAATTATGTATAAGTGCCAATATAAATTTAAATTATGTAGTACAGTTACTATAATTTAAACCTCATCTTCGCAGTTCATGCAGTGTCGGAATAAATCAATTATCTATTAAATAAGTTATATAAATATTAACTTTATTCCTAAACCTGTGGTCTCTTTGTTTACACACAGAGGTTTGTTTACACACTGATTATTAAGCAATTTAGTTTGAAAATGAAAAGTAAGACAAATGGCAAATTGTGTGGAAACATACTAATACCAAAGATATAGTGTTTCCAGATAAGTTAATTTAATATTACTCATTATTACCAGTGACTCGAAGCATCAAGTGCAATTCATCAGGGACAATGTTCCGCAGTCCAATGTTCAACAAAGGCGGATGCACACAAGAGTACGTCTGTTTTCTAACGCATTCAATAATATCTTCCAGGGATCTCACCAAAGGAATTTCCCAACAATAATTTTCAGGTTTCGTCATGTCATGTCTAAGGTAATAAAAGTTAACATAAATTGTTGAAGAACTGAAGTAACATATTCTTGGGTTTCATATGACTTCATAAATTTGACCGGGGGGGGGGGGGTCAACTTTAAGTCGAGACATAGTCATCAGAGTGAATTAATTGTTCACTGTATGTGTTGGCCTTGTGTTTGGTGGCAAATACATGCAATTTCCTATCATTTGCTCACTCCAGTACAACATAAACATCAACACATTTTAGGTTGACCCCCCGTCAGATTCACTGCAAAATACCGTACTGAAACTCAAGAATATAGAGATATTTCTAATCGCATGTTTTAGCTGCGCCATTTTTGACAGATTACCTGTGCTTTTTGTGAAGTTTGCACCAAACGCAAGAATGGTCAGATGTGGCCCCTTTCATGCCGCATATTTCCAATAGAAACTGAAAATTCAATAATCAAAATTACCATTCTTTGAATTTGTAAATTTAATGTACAGATGTATGAAAATTAATTATTACCTTATAATCACCCCCAAGAAACATATCCACCATTACATCCTGATCGTCTACTTTAATTTTTCCCCCTCTAGTAATTTTGTTGATTGATTTGAATAACTCAGAGCAAGAGCACTTCAGAAGCTCATAACTTTCTTGCCCTTTAATAACAGCAACCGTGTGGTTGCCTATAAATTAATAAAAGGTGCAATATTAATTATAAGTAATATAGCATGGCATTCAGAGCGATTAGTGATTAAATGTACCCGAAAGCCGAGGGACATTTCATCACTAATTTGAGGGACATTTCATCACTAATCGACCGTAATGCAATGCTATCACTTTGTAATATCATAGCTACCGAGACAATAAAACGGTTTCCTTCGATTGAATAAGTTGAAATGAAAAGGCGTGCTTGCTTTTTGATACTAATGACTATTGGGATGTTCGATAATGAGGTTACGGTTGATTTTTCATGCCTGTTAAGTATTTAATTGAACATCAATATAAGAGGTTATGATAAAGATGAGGGACGATGAGTAACTAATCGTCCCGTGGAGTGATTAATTTCTAATCGTCCCTCATGCTTTAGCAATGAGGTAAATTAGTCATTAATCGTGCCTCGCGAAACAAAGGAATTCGAGATAGCTATGATATTATATTTTATATTACCAAAATAATGACCAGGACATGTAGCACAACTGGTTGGAACCAAATGTTGGAATGAAATTGTAGTAACAAAATTGTACTAACCTTTTGATGACATTACATCATCACTATCAATAACAGAAAAAGAAATGACAACAAATGAAATCTTGCGAGTCATGTTGGCTCCATCCCCACTAAATTTCACCCTGACTTTCTCACCATTTTCCACTTGGATTTCACCTTTTTGAATCTAGAATTAAATTTCAAGAGATAAATCAAAATGATTCAATAAACTCAATAAATTTTAAAGCTTAGTTCATATGCATTGATAAATTAACCCACCTTGTTTCTTAATACATCTGCCAATTCACTTTCAAAATCCAGTTGTGCTCCTTCAGCCTGCCCTGGTGTTCTGGAAATGTGAACCAATTTGTTTAAATCGTCCTTGCATTGTTTTATCAATGTTTTATCAGTGCCCTCTCTAGGTGAGCTATATTTTACTTCATGGTGCAAACCGGCCTCATCTTCAAATTTGATAGAGGATACATCCAAACCAAATGCTTTAGCGAACCATAAAGACCTCTCTGCTTTCGTCTTTAATTCC